CTCAGCCACTTCACTCTTCTTCCTGAGATGGAAAGTCTACCCCTGCTGTGGCTGGTGGGCGGGGAGGGGACACCAGCATGGCAGCAGGTCCTCTGTCCCACTCTGGGGGTGACCTCCCTCTCTCTCACGCACCACTAACTCCCACCTGAGACTTGCAGGTGGCAGCAATGGGAATTGGTTAACTACCAGTAGTTTATGCACTCCAGTATGAACTGCCGTAACTCCCATTAACGCAGGACAATTTGCTACAGAGAGAACTTTTTATGATTATATAAAGCTACCAGAACCTTAACATTATTTAGGTTTTATTGTAAAGCTGTAAAAATCATCCACTGTTACAGCTGCCTTAAAACACATGAATTAGGCATTTCAGTAACCTTTAAGATGTGTTATTCTTTGTCATCTTACTGAATCATAAGATAGGTCTGGTTACCTCTAAGAGGTTTAAATTTCCAATCTATTAAAGTAATACGGGCAATCTGTTATCTCTAGGCCATTGAGGAAAGGTTAAAATGAAAATTGGACTTCGGGGAGTTCCTCCTGTTCTAAGTTGAAAACATCTCAGCAGCAGAAGGCAAAGTCAGGGGCTTGGTAAGAAGCAGTTATCAAGGGAAAGCACTGGTGATTACTTTATTGATTAAAGCAGCTTGAGAAATTTCAGATTTGCCACTGTCTAGAACTACTGTGGTGAGACAGCTTTATTACAAAGGTATTTTTCATTAAAAGCCAGGTGAAAGAAAATGGTAATGTGTTTTCAAAAGCACAGCTCGTCTGAAACGGGTTAATGATGGTATGGATGAAATGCATTCCACAGGTGGAATAAATTATTGGCAAACATCTTATAAAAGTAAAGGCAACTAAAACCAGTCCTAGTCATTAGAGATGCAGAGAAGTATAGCCCATTCAGGATACAGGTTAAAATATAATACAGTGCATTACTAAGGAACTCACTGATCTGCATATATTGAGTTTTTATTACTCTATATGACTAACTAAAACAACCTACAAATCATTCTAAAAAGAACATTAAAGTTGCAAGACCAAGCACTCAGAAGTTATAAACAATTTCAGAATTAAAGTAGTTTGCTCTGCTGTAATTTGCTCCTCCTATGCATGTGAATTATGATCCAGGTTTTAACTCCAGCAGCATGGACTATTTTCTCCACAGTCAAAGCACAGAGTGACTGGTGCCATTCTGAGGTGGTGTCTGCTGTGTTCCTCCTTGGTTAGGCAATACTCCCCCCATCTCCAGTCTCTCTGAATACAAAATACTATGCCTACAGACTAGACATAGACTACAAGAAACTGGTGGCATTTAACACTAGTAACTACAAGGGAAAAAATCTGTCTCAAAATATCAAGTTAATGCCTAGTAGCACTATGAACACCTGGCAAATAGTAGAGATGGAGTAAGTAGCAATCTCTGCTGAGGACTATTATTGCTTTTCTGTACCCAAAACAAATCCTCCTGAAGCCAATGGGAACCACTTGCTGAGGCTCGCCCCGTGGCACCATTTTTGGCAGCTTGATGATGCATTAAATCAAGTTTTGCTCCCTGAAGCAAAATTTTTTGAAACAGGAGCTCTAGGGTCCTGTCACATCCCTGTGACGGCTCCTTCCCTCAGTGCCAGGGCCTGGCACAGTCTCTGCTTACCAAGAAAAACAACATCGGAGGACAACCACCTCATCCTGCCTGTGGAAAAGGCACTGCAGACAAGGAGAGAAAACCCCAAATAAGCTCTTCCCTCCTACCCCTGCACACTGACATTTCTGATAGAAGTAGAAAGGAAACACAACCCTTATAGCATCTGATTTAGACAAACAGCATCCAAGGGCTGAGTTTGGTGAGTTTTGCCTTTGTTCTTTGTTCTTTTTTTCCAGTTACTTTTCCCTCAAATACCATTCTGGGCCTGAAATGGATTGTTGGGGTTGTTAGTTGGATGAATGAATTGAATAATTGCTGTGGCTGTACCTGGGATATTAATTTCAGGCTGGGCTATCTTGTCCTGGGGAAGATAGCAACACACTGAAGGGAGCCCAGAAGAGACCCCCACAGCAGGGTAGGGTGCAGAGGGACAAAATCACAAGGGAAGCTCCTGAGAACTAAACACACAGTTTCAGTAAAAGACACCTACTGTAAGGATAACTAGCCTGGGTGGAACGGGAGGGACACAATATCCAGGAAGGCAAGCAGCTATTTTGCTTGTTATCCGGAACAAAACTAGTTTGACAGGGAAGCACCCAAGGAATCTCAGGAGAAGGTGCCAGCCCACGAGACCTACTTTGCCATCAACACTGCCCCTCAGGTACTTAGAGAAGTCCAGCTGTTTGCTCATTGAAAACTACTCTGGACAAACTATTAATAAATGTGAAGCAGGGAATGCTCCTGCATAGGGAAGGAGATGGATTAGATGGCCTACCAGGTCTTTTCCATCTCCCCATGCTATAATAAAGTAAAACCCAAGCATATTGTGAATTACAGGGCCATAATTTCATCTCCAGACTCTAGGGACCTACAAGCCACCCAAACTTCACTCCTGTTGTTTATAATGTCACCAAAACCCTCTGATGGAATTACTACATTGTAATTCACTGCTGTCTGTGAGTCATCTCATACTCATCTCTATGTCCTGTGTGGCATGACAACAAATCATTGAAAAGGATCTGGCACAACTACAGAGAGGGTAAAAACCAGGCTGTGTTAAGTAGGGAGCACCACACATTCAGCATGTTTCCAGAAAGTGTGATTAATCCAATAACACCAGAGGAATTTTGGGGTCAGTCAGTGCTCCCCATTCACCTAATTTAGCAAGCATCCTACTTTTGCCTTTCCCTTTTATTAAAAAAAAAGGGTAGTCAGTGTGACACCAAAGGGAAGCGTGACCTTCTGGCTGCTATTTCACCATGCTGCAAGCCTCCAGCTGCCAAGTGGACTGCCAGACATTGGGGCACCTCTCATCCTGTGAGGCACATCATCTTCCATAATTCCTTGGGAAAGGGAACTTTCATTATTTTGCATCATTTTCTTTAGCCTCCAAATATAGGCAAATATTTTGCAACAGAAGTGCATGTTCTTTGGAACGACATGGTTTGGGACGAAGGTGAACAAGAAGTACAACACCCCAGTACAAGTAGAAGGAGAAACCACAGTAGAGAATGGAGGATGGATGGAAGACTCTAGGCTGGGTAGAGGTACGGATGGCACAAGTCAGAGCAAAGAGAGACAGGACTGAAAAGGGAAATAGCAGGCAGTCAAAAAGGACCTTCAAAAAAGCAGAGATAATAACATCATGCCTTTCAGGAGGGTAACAAGAACACACAGGGAAGAAGAAATTCAACAGGTCGCCACAGCATTTACCCTCTCAGCTGTTAGTCCTCTTTTGCCTACTTCACATTATTTGATAGAATAGGTAAATATGAGACTTTTTTCCTCTGAAATATTTTTTCAATTATTTTCCTTTTTTTTTTGTTTTGTGTTTGTTGTTTGCTTTTTGGTTTTTTTTAAATATAGGAAGATCCTGAAGATAAATATGTTGTTGCATATATAATAGACTGTGTCGGAAAAAAATATTGACCCTCTCCTCCTGGCCACATTCCCTTCAACCTCTTCTATAACTTTCTGTGAAAGGCAGCAAATGCAACATTTTTTAAAGCAGCATCAGTGAACACAACAACATGGCATGGCCAGAGGTGACAGCATCAGAAACCTTACCTGCTCTGGTGGAAGTCCCAGTTCTGCTAAGGCTGACTCAAAAAATGTCTTTGCTGGTTTCCCCACCACCTCAGCTTGAACATCACAGGCGTACTGCAAGAAAAGGAGAGAGAAGGACCCATAAAAATGCTGATCAGAAAAGGATTTCTTCACCTCCATAACTCTAGTCAATTGTATAAAATCATGAGATTGATTTTTGCCCTTAAATAAGAAAATGAAGCAGATGAAGGTGTATATTGGGGATTTCGGATAACAAAAGTGTTTCATGTTCTCTGGCAGGAGAGGAAGTTCTCCTGAAACATCTCAAGTTACAAACCTTTTCCATTCATCATGAGAACAGACTTCAGATTCAGTCTCAGTATCACGGGAATTTTTTAAGAGCATGACTCTTAAAGAAGCTTTTAAAGAAACATCCTTCATATGAAATTATCAAAACTACTGAAGGACCTTAAGATTTGGGTTCTTCAACCACATGGAATATTTTTATTGATTCCAGTGACCAGCCAGATTTGAAAAGTTGTATTTTCCTCCAACTAAATATCAGTAATCTCTTGGAAAAGGTGCTTCTAGCTTGTTCCTAGATAACTAGAAGCCTGAACTCTCCCCAGAACTCATACAGATACAAATTGATTTGCTGCAAGCTTGCATTATATCTACTATCTTCTGTCCTTGTATACCACCCTACTTTCCTTCATTCCCTGCATTCACTATGTTCGTGTGGTTTTTTAAAGTCTCTGCAAGCCTATAAAAAGGAGAATAAGGAACACTTATGTTGCCTTATCTATTGGATTCCAGTTCTCCACAGACTTAATTAAGCTTAAAAACAAGACTGCACTTAAGTATCCTGCTG